CCAACCATCCAGTTCCCTTCTCCACATGCAGCCCTGTCAGCCAGAATGGGCTATGCTAGGCTGCAGTAAAAAGTAGCCCCAAAGACGTGCTTGTTAAAGCAACAAGGGTTTATTTCTCATTCATGCTTTGTGGGCATCTGCAGCTGGTTGAGCCCCTATTTGTTTTCATCCTTACTCTGGGGTCCTGGCTGATCTGCCTGGGACTCCCGCCAGCAGAGCAGCTATGACCTGAAATATGTGAGTGCCCATGGCAGAGGGAAAAGACAGAGCATGGGAGAACCACATACTGGCTCTCAGAAATTTCTGCCTGGAAATGTACTTCTGCCCACCCTTCACAGGCCAAAGCAAGTCGCATGGGCACAGCTAGCTTCAGGGGCACAGGGAAGTAGAATCCTACCATATGCCCAGGAGGAGACCTGGAACTATTTGGTGCAGCAAATTTATATACAGACTATGTCCCTCCCTTCTTTTACACAAATGGTAGCACAAATGCACACTATTCTGTATCTTGCTTTCTTAACAATAAATCTTGGAGATTATTTCACACTTGAGTGATGTGGGCAACATCGAAGACATCCTCATTTTCTTTTATACAGCTTACTTGCACTATCGAATTCCTATTTCTCTTTCTGTATACACAGTTGGGTGCAGATAAGTTAACTGTATGTATGACATGACATCCTTGTATTATTAGATGAGAAAAGCAGGGGCCGGGTGCACTGACTGACACCTGTAATCCCAGCACTTTGGGAGGCCAAGGCAGGAGAATCACCTGAGGTCAGGGGTTTGAGACTAGCATGGCCAACATGGTGAAATCCCATCTCTACTAAAAATATAAAAATTGGCCAGGAGTGGTGGTTCACGCCTGTAATCCCAGCTACTTGGGAGGACGAGGAGGGCAGATCACGAGGTCAGGAGCTCAAGGCCAGCCTGGCCATTTGCCAAAGGATGAAACCCTATCTCTACTAAAAATACAAAAATTAACTGGGCATGGTGGCGGGTGCCTGTAATCCCAACTACTCGGGATGCTGAGGCAGGAGAATTGCTTGAACCGGGACCTGGGAGGCAGAGGTTGCAGTGAGCCGAGATCACGCCACCACACTCCAGCCTGGGTAACAGCGAGACTCCGTCTAAAAAAAAAGAAAGAAAAGAAAAGTGGTTACAGAGAAGTCTATGTATAGGAAGGCTGATTTGTTAAAAAACGATTGTTTTCATGAAGAAAAATTTGTAAGAAAACATAGCTAATGCAAACAGCATTTGACTCTGAGCAGCAAGAAATCAGGAGATCTCCATTTTGTTGTCTCTTGCTTCTCTGGATTTTCTAAAATTTTTTCCCCATATAACAATCACTGTCATTTGTGTGTAAAGCCTGGCAGTGAAAGATTAAAACACACACACACACACACACACACACACACACACACACAAAACAATCACCGTCATTGTCAGGGTATATTTGATTGCCAGGAACAGAAGCCAAGAGAGGTTTATAGAAGAACCCACGGACTTCCATGCGTTCACTTGTTCCTGAAGAACAAGGACCTTGTTTGTGCCGTTCACTGTATCTTGTTGATTAAATCAGTGAACTAGCATAGCAGAAAATAAAATTCAACCATGCCCCTTGGAGTCTCAAACTACAGATGGGTAGTTGCTGCCCTGTGGTCTTTTTCTACCTCTCTTTTATCTCTGTCTCTCCAATTCTCTTTCCAGAGTAATGTGCAAACAAACCTCAGATGCAAGGGGAAAGCCTGCAGCTTAGAGACAAACATTTAGTTGCATCTAGGAAGAATTTTCCTAAAGTTCATAAAATTGGTACATAGAGGTAGCTCTTCTCCTGGCCAGAGTTGGCGTCCATGCAGTAAGGCCCTTAAGGAGGCCACTGCAGTTAGCACCACGCAAATATTTTAACCCACCCGGTGGGAGAGGGAAGCAGGTAGGGGGAGTGCTTCCTTTGTGATTTTTTATTTTTGGGACAGAGTCTTGCTCTGTTGCCCAGGCTGGAGTGCAATGGCGCGATCTCAGCTCATTGCAACCTCCACCTCCCTGGCTCAAGCGATTCTCTTGCTTCAGACTCCCTAGCAGCTGGGATTACGGGCACCCGCGACCACAACAGGCTAATGTTTGTATTTTTAGTGGAGACGGGGTTTCATTATGTTGGCCAGGCTGCTCTCGAACTCCTGACCTAAAGAAATCCGCCCACCTCGGCCTCCCAAAGTGCTAGGATTACAGGCGTGGGACACCACATCCGACTATTTTTTATTTTTGAGACAGGGTCTCACTCTGTTGCCCAGGCTGGAGTAGCAGTGGTGCAGTCATAGATCACTGCAGCCTCAAACTCCTAGGCTCAAGCGATCCTCCCGCAGCCTCCAAAGTATCTGGGACCACAGGCACGCACCACCATACCTGGCTAATTTTTATTTATTATTATTATTTTTTTTGAGATGGAGTTTCACTCTTGTTGCCCAGGCTAGAGTGCAATGTCACGATCTCGGCTCACCATAACCTCCGCCTCCTGGGTTCAAGGGTTTCTTATGCCTCAGTCTCCAGAGTAGCTGGGATGACAGATGCCTGCCACCACACTTGGCTAACTTTTTTTGTAGTTTTAGTAGAGATGGGGTTTCTCCATATTGGTCAGACTGGTCTCGAACTCCTGACCTCAGGAGGTCCACCTGCCTCAGTCTCCCAAAGTGCTGACATTATAGGCGTGAACCACCGCACTCAGCCGGCCTGCCACGTCCTTGATCTCAGACTTTCAGCCTCCAGAACCTTGAGCCCTAACGTTCTGAGACACTAGTACACCCCCGCCCCCACCCCACCCTTTAATGCTGTTCAGCCAAATAATTTGAATATAAGGTGATTTCTAGAATCTACACACAAATGCTCACATGCTCAGACGACAGAGGGCTTTCTAGGACAAAACCCAGAACTTAAAAGCACCCCACAGTGCACCCCACCTCCATCCCGAGTCCTCAGCTTGGTGGTGGGCCCTGGCCTGGGAACAAACGCTTAGAAACCCATCCTTTGGCAAATGGCCCACCTCCTACACCCAGCCACATGTTCCAGGTGGGGAGGCCTCCCCACTGACCCATAAATGTGGGTGGAAATCCATCCTTTCCACACAGTGAACCTTGAGACCTTGGATCAGGAAAATGTCTATTTATTCCAAAAAATACCAAGTCGCAGCAACTCTGGCTGTCCTCACCAGGGGGAGGGGAAGGGGCCAGTGTGGGAGAGGGGAGTGGAGAGAGGAAGGGATGAGGAGGGAGGCAGAAGCTGTTGGAGAGTCTTCGGGTGTGGAGCTGTTTATCTTCTCCCTGTGAACCGCCCCTCCCTAGCTCCCCCAACCAGAAGGGGAGATGCCTCTGTGTGTGTGTGTGCGTGTGTGCGCGCTTGTGTATGCATGGGTTTGTGTGCGTTTGTTGGGGAATGGGGAAGACTCAGATGATGAGACCCCAGCTCAGGAAATGTGGAGGGGAATTGGCAGTACACAGCTGCTCCCACCCCTCGAGACCTCTCCCCTCTATGGCTTATTCAAGAGCAAATCAAGGCCCCAGGGTCAGGCAGCCTGTGCTGACTGAATGGGGACAGGGCTGGGGGCAGGATTCCTGGAACCAGGCTGGGCTAGAGCTAGTGAAGGGGGGCATACAAAAGCTGAAAGGCCCAAATCCCCAAATTCTGGGGGCTGGAGAAAGCTGAGTGTTCTGTGGAGGTGTTGAGCAGAGGGAAGGGACTGGGAGGGGGCGGGTGCTCAAGCTGGCTCCTTTAGGCCCCCGGAAGGGATGGGAGGAGCCCCTCAGAGCAGCTAGAAGCCATGGGGTTGAAAAACTGGCACCGGGGCCTAGGTAGATTTGGGTAACCCCCCCATTTCTTCAGTGTGGGGGGAGCCAAGGGCCACCTGTCTGCCCCAAGCTCCTGACAAGAAGGAGCGTGAGGTGCCAGTGTTTGCGGGGAGACATAAAAGGGAGGGGGACGGCCCAGGGAAGGAAGAAGAGGCCCCCCCACCTCGCCCTGGGGGCTGGGGGAGGGGCTTGTAGCCCTTTAAGAGTGGGGGAATGGCCGCCCCCGCAACATGGCTATGTACAAAGAGAATAGAGGGCAGATTGTGCATTGGGTGCTGGGGACTTCCTGCACCCCTGGAGGCTCCGGGGGTGTTAGGGCGTTAGAGAGGGAGGTGAAGGAGCACCCTGGCCCTGGCAGATGTGCTCTGCAGTGTTCTGCTGCAGGATCAGGCCAGCAGAACAGCATGGAAGGCCCCAGGTCGGTCACCAGCTTTGGCCCGTCCCGTGGGGATCAGGGGTCTCTGAGGAGAATTTGGCGGGAGCCAGCAAAGTGCCAATCCTAGTAGGGGCCCAGGGGACAGGGATTGGGCAGGGGGTAGTGGTGTCACCAGAGGGTTGGAATGCTCCCCCTCTGCTGATGATGAGAGGTTGCTGGGTTGACCCTGTCACCAATCAGTTGGCTGGGTGAGGGGCAGCGATGCTGTCAGGAGGGGCCTGGGGGCCGAGGTGAGGCTGGCTGAGGCCACATCTGTGGTGGGGTTAATCCAGGCATCATCCTTGGTCAGGAGTGAGGCAGTGACATAAGGAGGGCCAGAGTGGGGGTGAAGTCACCAGAGGGAGGCAGGTGGCCCCACCCCTGTCCACTTTGTAGAAACGGGAATATGGCCTTTGTGCTGGTTCCCCTTAAGTGAACAACTGTAAGTACGATGTGGCTCCAGAGGACAACTGAAATACAGCTTGTCATAGTACTTGGCTCCTAAGATGATGGCTCTTGGGGGATGATGGCACGTGGTTGCAGTGGACTCTGGGATGACACCAGGGTTATGCGGGATCCTAGTGGGTGGTGACAGCATTGAACCTCATGGATCCAGGGAGATGAAGACACCAGGGTTATGGGGGATCCTAGTGGGTGGTGACAGCATTGGATCCCATGGATCCCAGGAGATGAAGACACCAGCGTTATGGGGGATCCTAGTGGACGGTGACAGCATTGGATCCCACGGATCCCAGGAGATGAAGACACCAGGGTTATGGGGGATCCTAGTGGACGGTGACAGCATTGGACCTCATGGATCACAGGAGATGAAGACACCAGAGTTATGGGGGATCCTAGTGGGTGGTGACAGCATTGGACCTCATGGATCACAGGAGATGAAGACACCAGGGTTATGGGGGATCCTAGTGGACGGTGACAGCATTGGATCTCATGGATCCCAGGAGATGAAGACACCAGGGTTATGGGGGATCCTAGTGGGTGGTGACAGCATTGGACCTCATGGATCCTGGGAGATGAAGACACCAGGGTTATGGGAGATCCTAGTGGGTGGTGACAGCATTGGACCTCATGGATCACAGGAGATGAAGACACCAGGGTTATGGGGGATCCTAGTGGGTGGTGACAGCATTGGATCTCATGGATTCCAGGAGATGAAGACACCATGGTTGAAGTGGATCCTAGGAGATGACACCATTGGCTCTCATGGATCTTGGGAGGTGATAACACCGCAGGTGAAATGGATCCTGGGAGGTGGTGGCACATGGTTGAAGTGGATTCCCGGAGATGATGACACCATGGCTCCCATGGATCCTTGCAAATGATGATGACACTATTGGGCATCGTGGGTCTTGGGAGGTTGGTTGGAGTGGATCCTGATAATTGATAACACAATAGCTACGGTAACTCCTGGGACATGAAGACACATGGTTAAAGCAGATCTGGCAGGTGATGACACATGGCTCTCATGAGTCTTTGTAGATAATCATGACACTATTAGGTGTTATGAATTCTGGGATATGCTGACACCATGGTTGAGTGGATCCTGGGAGGAGATGATACCATGGTTCCATCATGGGAGGTGATGACACCACAACATGAGGGATTATGGGAAATGGTAGCATCGTCAGTCCTAGTGGATTTCAGTAGAGAATGTCTCTGTCAGGCATAGTGGATTCTGGAAGGTAATGTCATCATTGGTCATGGTGGGATCTAGGAGATGATGGCACCATCAGCTGTGGTGGATCCTGAAAGTTGATGACACCATGATTGTGGGGAATCATGGAGGATGGTGACACCATTGGCTATGGGGAGTCTTGGGAGATGATGATACCATTAGTTATGGTAAATTATGGAAGGGGATGATACCATAGCTGTGGGTCGTAGGGAATCCTAGGAAAGGATTCCATCCTCAGGCATGGGTAACACTTGACCCCGGGTGCAGTGCCATCATGAGCAGCGGGTGTTGTGTGGTGCTGACAATGTCAGCGAGGGCAAGAATAGGTGCACTGCAAACACCTCCCCCCAATAGAAGGCTAGGACTTTGTTGCCAGAGTGATTGTCTGTAGATATGGCAGAAAGAAGAGTGAGGCCAGGCTAAGGGACACCTATGAGTGCCAGGACTCCAGGATCCTGGTGATCCAGAGTGGCTTCCTGGGAGCAGAAGGCCACCTGCAGGTTCTGTTTCCCAGGAGTCACTGCACAGGCATGGGATCCAAGCCCCATTTGCCCTCAGCGGGTCTGGCAGAGATCCTGCTGTGTATGTCCCTGGGGTCTGGGGAGGGAGCGACCAAGCTAAGTCATGGTGGGTCAAGGCAGTAACTCTGGTGACACCATCAATACCGACGGCCTTCCAGAGTGGGCAGTGCCTCTGAGGAGGGAGCTCTGGTGATGCCATCACAGCCCTGGGGGCAGGGGGATCACTGCCAACAGCCTACACAGACCATCATCTCTGAAGGACGCCCTCCACGTGGGCGGCTCTGCAGCGGTGCTTCCCTCAGACAACATCCTTGGACAGGGCCCCTCTCTGCTCTCTGATATCTTCCCTGGGGTGGTCCTGGACTCTGGGCCTGCCTTGCCTTCTACATGGTGGGAGCAGTGGAGGCATCTCCTCGTCCCGTCTCAGAGCACGTAGCATCTGGGTGACATCGCAGAAGGGACCTCCTCCTGGAGAGGTCCCAGAGTGAGTTGTCATCTCTGGTGATGACATCACGGGAAGAGGCACGGTCCCTCTGATGACGTCATAGGGCAAGGCACCTTCTCTGGTGATGGCATCACAGGAAGGAGGCAGGGTCCCTGTGACAATGTTGTGAAAAGGAGGCCTTATGTCTAGTGAGTACACAATTAGTGAGGCATTTTCCCCTGTGGCGCGTCCCAGGAAGATGGCTTTGTCTGTAATGATGACATCATAGGACAGAGGCATCTTCTCTGCTGCAAAGACACAGGGAGAAAATTTCTTCCCCATGGCGATGATGCCAAGAGGCCTTGGAGTTAGAGATGGCATCATTCAGGTGAGATTGTCTCTGTAGTGACATCACAGGAACGAATGTCATGGGACAAGGCGTCGTCTCTGTTACTACACCACAAGAAGGAGGCCTCTGAGGACATCATAGAACACGGACATGGCCTCCAGCGATGACCTCAAGGCCGGCCTCTTCCTCTGTGATGACCTCATGGGAAGGAGGCTTTGTCCCTGTGATGACATCACAGGACACAGACATTTTTGCTAGCAATGACCTCATGGGCCAGCCTCTTCCTCTGGGATGACATCATGGGAAGGAGGCCTTGGCTCAAGCAGTGACGTAATAGGAGGAGGAATCTTGTCTACCAGGTCATCCTGGAAGGAGGCTTTGACTCCTGTCCAAGGACCTTTCTGGGCCCCAGGCCCCTGGCGTGTGTGCGCCTGTGTCGGGGGATCCAGGCTGGGACAGGGGCCCGGGAAGCCGCAGCCCCCCAGCCCCGGCCCTGGCCTCAGACAGTCACCTCGTTCTTGCTGGCAGTGCGCAGGTGCTGCGGCAGGTGGTGGCCCGGGATGAACTGCAGCTGCTCCAGCGTGCCCTGGCGCTGGAAGGGCGGCCTGCGGGCCAGCGTGCCCCCGCCCCCGCCGGCATCTGACATCCAGGCGGGCTGCGGCGAGCCGTGCAGGGCGTGGTGGTGGTGGGCGTGCAGGCTGGACGGTGGCGGCAGCCCACGCAGGGGCGTTGGGGGGCCCCCAGGCCCCAGCAGCAGGTTGGAGTGCGAGGCGGCCAGGCTGGCCCGAGCGGTGGGGTCTGGGGGCAGCGCGGGGCTGCGCGGGGGCGACAGCAGGTGCTCTCGGCTCTGGCGCAGGGCCTCGGGCGAAGACAGAAGCAGGTGCTCCTGCGACACGAGGCGCGCGCGCGGCAGCGTGAACTCGTAGCGCGAGCGGCCAGCGTCACCCAGCAGGTGCTCCTGGGACATGACCCGCCGTGGGTTGGGCGCCGGCGCCAGGCCCAGCTCGTCTGGGCCGCCCCAGGCATCCATGCGGTAGCCGCCCCCGGTGCCCGGCCGCCGCAGCGCGTGCAAGGGCAGCGTGCCGCGGGGCAACTCCAGGGGCCGGCGCTTGAGGTAGGCCTCGTCCAGATCCTTCTCGGCTGCGGGTAGGGGGGAAAGAGCCACAGCGGTGGGTCCTGCGCATCCAGAGCCCTCCTCTCCCGCCTCCTCACATCCCGCTCCCACGCAGCTGTCGCCCCCACAGGGACCCCGGGCATCAGGCTAGCTGTGTGGCCAAAATGCAGATTCCCAGGCCCAGCCCACAATGCTGGGTCAGTAGATTTTTTTTTCCCCTGCCTCTGCCTAAACCTTCTTTTTGGAGTAGAACCCAACTCTTGCTTTTAAGGAACCACTGACCCCCTTCCTTTCATCCTGTAGCAATGTTATTCACATTTGGAGTTGTGACCTGTTGCATGTGATGTTGGTTTTGTAGGTAGTGAGCAGTGTTTAGAAAAATGAAATCAAATAGAAGACAAAACTATCAGAAAGTGTTTATATACTAAGGGAACTGGGGTAAGTGCTGGTTCATAAAATTCTGACTTCAGATTGTGTGTGTGTGTGTGTGTGTGTGTGTGTGTGTGTGTGTGACTGAAATATCAAATCATGAGTGAGATTTAGTTTAAAAGAATCCACCAAGGCCAGGCAAGGTGGCTGGCTCCTGTAATCCCAGCACTTTGGGAGACTGAACAGGAGGGTCACTTGAGCCCAGGAGTTCAAGACCAATCTGGGCAATATAGTGAGACCCCATTTCTACAAAAAAATTAAAAATTATCCAAGCATGGTGGTGCATGCCTGTAGTCCCAGTTACTCAGGAGGCTGATGTGAGAGGATTGCATGAGTCCAGGAAGTTGAGCCTGTAGTGAGCCATGACTGCACCACTGCACTCCAGCCTGGGTGACAGAGTGAGACTTTGTCTCTTTTTCTTTCTTTCTTTTTTTAGACTGAGTTTCACTCTTGTTTTCTTGCCTGGAGTGCAGTGGCACAATCTCGGCTCACTGCAACCTCCACCTCCTAGGTTCAAGCAATTCTCATGCCTCAGCTTCCTAAGTAGCTGGGATTACCAGGCATGCACCACCATGACTGGCTAATTTTGTATTTTTAGTAGAGACGGGGTTTTACTACGTGTCAGGCTGGTCTTGAACTCCTGACATCAAGTGATCCATCCACCTCGGCTCCCAGAGTGCTGGGATTGCAGGTGTGAGCCGTGCCCAGCTGACCTTGTCTCTTAAAAAAAAAAAAAAAATCCACCAAAAGGTGGGGTGGAGTACAGATTAACAAAATGTGGCTAATTATTAAGACTGAGTGATGGGAACATGGGGCTCATTTTATAATTTCCTCTACTTGCATGCATGTTTGCAAATGACCGTAATAAAAAGTTTCAACGCTTTCCTGTAATTAAAAATATATGTGTGTATGTATACATGTGTGTGTGTGTGTCTCATGGGTCATAATATGAAAATCATTGCTGGGCTGGGCGTGGTGGTTCACACCTGTAATCCCAGCATTTTGGGAGGCCAAGGTGGGTGGATCATCTGAGGTCAGGACTTCAAGACCAGCCTGACCAACATGGATAAACCCTATCTCTACTAAAAATACAAAAATTAGCTGGGCATGATGGCATGTCCCTGCAATCCCAGCTACTCCAGAGACTGAGGCAAGAGAATCACTTGAATCCAGGAGGTAGAGGTTGCAGTGAGCTGAGATGGTGTTTGCACTCCAGCTTGGGCAACAGAGTGAAACTCTGTCTCAAAAAAGGAAGAAGGAGAAGGAGGGAAAGAAGAAGAAGAAGGAGGAAGAGGAGGAGGAGAAGGAGAAGGAGGAGGGGGAGAAGAGGAGAGAGGAAGAAGAGGAAGAGGAGGAGGAGGAGAAAAATCATTTCTGGCTGGTTATGGTGGCTCATGCCTATAATCTCAGCACTTTGAGAGGATGAGGTGGGTGGCATGCTTGAGCCCAGGAGTTCGAGACCAGCCTGGGCAACACAGTGAAACCCTGTCTCTACAAAAAATACAAAAATTAGTCAGGCATGGCAGCATGAGCTCTTAGTCCCAGGTACTCAGGAAGCTGATGTGGGAGGATCACGCTTGAACCTGGGGAGGTAGAGGTTGCAGTGAGCTATGATAGTGCCACTGCATCCCAGCCTGAGTAACAGAGTGAGACCCTGACTTGAAAAAGTAATAATAATAAAGAAGAAAAACTGTTTCCTAGTGACGCTCTCACTTTAAGATGTTTGAAGGGGGCTCCACTGCCAGAGGTGGGCCACAGACTGGAAAATGTCCAATCAGATTCACAGGAACTGGTTCAGGGATGGCCATGTGACCCAACTTAGACCAATGGCATCCAGGCCCGGGATTTTTGCTGGAATTGTTGGGAGAGACTCTTTCCTACCAGGGCGCCTGAGCTGGTAGAACGGCAGCCTGAACATCTGCAGGGTGATCGTTGCCACCACGAGGGGAGACTATCTGAAAATGAGGCCCGCCGGTCGCCTAAATTGCTGAGAGACAGCTCTTGAACCCCCGAAACAGCCACATCCCAATTTGGTGACCTGCAAACTTTCCGTTATCAAGTCAATGAATATTTTTCCTTTAGCCTAAGTTGTATTTCTATTAATTGCAAGTCCAAGTTCTGATGAATACAACAATAAGTCCTGGGAGGGGAGACCAGAAGGTTGCATTTTAAAAATGCAAACCAGGATGATTCTGATACAAAAGTACCTCAGGTAACACTGCAACAAACTGGGAGTAAAACCTGAGAGAGAATCTAAACCGCGGGAAGGCGCTTGGGCTACTGTCCATGGTCCTGAACCCAGGCTCGGGCCCCGCCCGCTTCCTTTCAGCGCCCCGCTGCCCCTGCTAGGACTCACCCAGCCTCTTGAGGGAGGAGTAGCGATTCAGCTCAGACTTCACGGCAGCCTCGTAGGACGGGGGCAGATGCGAGAGGTTGTGGAAGGACCGAGAGCAGGACAGCGTGGAGTAGTGCAAGGAGGGGCTGGGCGGCGGCAAGGCTCGCCAGTCTGGGTAGAGGGGGCAGGGCCAGGGTCAGTCAGACTCCTCCCTCGGATCCAGGAGTCTAGACCCTAGCCCCTCCTCCCTCAGACCCAGGAGTCCAGGGACCCCAGTCCCTCCTCCCTCAGACCCAGGGATCCAGACCCCCAACCCCTCCTCCCTCAGACCCAGGAGTCCAGAACCCCAGCCCCTCTTCCTTCAGGCCCAGGAGTCCAGGTCCCAGCCCCTCCACCTTCAGACCCAGGAATCCAGCCCTCAGCTCCTCTTCCCTCAGACCCAGGAGTCCAGGCCCCCAGGCCCCACCTACCTCAGACCCAGGAGTCCAGACCACAGCCAGCCCCTTCCTCCCTCAGACCCAGGAGTCCAGGCCCCCAACCCCTCCTCCCTCAGACCCAGGAATATAGGCATCCAGTCCCTCCTCCCTCAGACCCAGGAGTCCAGACCAGAGCCAGCCCCTTCCTCCCTCAGACCCAGGAGTCCAGGCCCCCAACCCCTCCTCCCTCAGACCCAGGAATACAGGCATCCAGCCCCTCCTCCCCCAGACCCAGGAGTTCAGGCCCCAGCCCCTCCTCCCTCAGACCCAGGAGTCCAGACCCCAGACCCTCCTACTTCAGACCCAGGAGTATAGGCCCCAGCTCCCTCCTCCCTCAGACCCAGGAGTCCAGACCCCAACCCCTCCTCCCTCAGACCCAGAAGTCCAGGCCCCCAGCCCCTCCACCCTCAGACCCAAGATCCAGGCTCAGCCCTCCCCTCAGACCCAGGAGTCCAAGCCCTCAGCCCCTCCCTCAGACCCAGCAGTTATTTGGGGAGTTAGAAATCTGAGAATGTAGCCCATCAGAATTCCAGCAGTTTCGGCTCCCTTTTCTCACCCCACCCCCTCCGCTCCAGGAGACAGGCTTGATGCTGGGGAATAGGACCCCAAGAGGGGGGCACTGGGCATTCGTCAGCACCCACTGAGTGCCTGGCCCCAGGCTCCATGCACCTTCCCCTCAACCATGTGGGAGAGAGATGACCACTTTCGGCGTCCACACGAGGAAACTGAGGCTCACTTGGTGACCTGGCCAGACCATGAGCGCCATGAGGACTGGGCTCACAGGGGCCTTGCCCCTGCTCTATACTGGGCACCTGGCATGGCTGGCCCAACACAGAGGGGGAAGGGAGGAGCAGGGCTCCTCCCCGCAGCCAGGCCCTCTTCCGTACCCAGTGTGGCGGCGTGGTGCTTGGGGCTGTTGACGTTGAGGTGCAGGTAGTTGTGGTGCAGATTATCTGGGGGGACCGAGAAGGGAGGTGATGTCACTGCCGTCGCTGACTCCCAGCTGGCATCGCGGCCCTGATCTCTGGGAAGGACTCTGGCCTCAAGGTCGGCCCCACATGCAGGTCCTTGTTAGAGCTTCACAGATCAACCCATGCCATTGGCCACATGGGGGAAACTGAGGCTGGGGACTTGAAGGTGGAAAGTGTGGGCGCAAGCTCAGGGCTGGGTTAGTGGTCTGTCCCAAGTTCCTACCATTCCCCCCCCACCCTGTGCCCAGGCTAGAAATCTGGGGGTTCTCCTTGCTACCTCCTTCCACCTCCCACTCATGTCCCCTTGGTTCCTCCCGACACCTGAATCTCTGCCCTAATATGTCTTCTCCCTCCTGGATCACTAAAGCAGCCTCTGGTCATCCCACCCATCCATCTCCATGATCAGCCTCACCGAAGTAACTGCCCCTCCACTGCTTAACAGCCTTCCCATGGATCACCGTCACGGGACAAAGTCGAACCCAGGAACAGTGTTTGAGGCGTCAAAACCTGGACCCACCGGATGTCTGCAGCCCCATCTCCCAGCCCTTCCCTCAAGCCACACTGCTGTCTCCAGTGAGCTCAGTGTGGTACTGCCACAGGCCCTTTGCACGCGCCACCATGCTGTTCTCTCTGCCTTGAAGCCCTTCTTCCTGTCTGCCTCAAGATCCAGCTCCAATGTCTCTTCTCCTCTCCATCCCTGACCCCAGCTCCGTCCCCGTCCTCTTGCTGCCTGGACCATCATCCCAGCCTCCTCCGGGGCCTCTTTCCTCTCATCTCTCCCCTTCACATGGGTTCCAGAGGATGGTTTCTTCCATCCACTGCTGACTGTGTTGCTCCCCTGCTATAGCTCGTCAGTGGTTCTCCATCGCCATCAGGACAGAGGTAGAGCTCCTCAGCCCAGCCTGGCACTCGAGGGCCCTCTTTGAGGTCACCAGCCACCCTCTCCCTGGCCTCAAGTCTGGCCACCTCACAAGCTCTGCCACCCAGAGCTTCCCAGCCCCAGTAATTCTGCTCCTCCTCCAGGCCTTTGCTCAAACACCTCTCCCTCAGAGACGCCCTCCTGCCCCCAAACCAGACCAGATCTTCTCAGTCCCCCTGACAGCTCCCTGGACTTCTCCACTGATGCACGCATCATAAATTATAATATAATGATCTATATCATATTTAAATGATATGTAATATTAAATATGATATATGTCATATTTTAAGTATATGTGTATTAAACAATAGCAATAGCTCACACTTACTTAGCATTTTTTTTCTTTTTTTCTTTCTTTCTCCCTAGACTGCTCAGCAGAATGCTTAGCATTTTTTTCTGTGTTGCACATTATTCTAAATATCTGCTTCATCAGTTCATTTGCTCTTCACCATAACCCCATGAAGTGAGTACTGCTATGTTTCTCATTTTACGGATGCAGAAACAAGCCCAAAGAGATGAAGTCGCTTGCTCCAGGTCACACAGTGGCAGAACCAGAATTCAAACCCAGTCAGTCTGGGTCCTGACAAATTAGAGTTTGGTAGGTGTGTCCTTGTGTGTAGTTGGCTGTTGGGTGGTCTGACACTGAGCGCAGGGGCTTGAGAATGTCTAAACCTACATCACCAAGGTGTCCATGGAGCCCACCCAGGGGGGTTCACAGGAGGGGAGGGGGGGGTCTGGCTCTCTACGGATTGTGCCCCTTCCGCATTGCGCAGGGCAGGACCCTACTGTGGAAGGGTGACGTAGAAGAGCGGGGGTGGGGTCTGGGCGATGCGGGTGGAGCTGCCATGGAGGGCGGGGCTACAGCACGAGGGGGCGTGGCCAGAGATGGAGTCTGCGCTGTATCCCACGTCCCACTCACCGAGGTTGGGGGTCTTCACGGTGTTGTAGAGGTTCTTGGGCGTCCTGGGGGGCATGCTGTCGGGGCCACCGATCCCAGGGGTCAGGGAGCTGCTTCGGGCCCGGTCCGGACGGGTCCCAGGCCCCGCCTGATGCCTCAGAATGTCCACCAGAGCTCTAAAGGTGGCAGAGAGGTGGTCAGTGGCCTGGGGTCTGGGGCTGGCAGGGGACACAAGGAGGACCCAGGCTTCTTTCAACTCCCTGTTCTCGCCCTTGGGGCATCTGTCAATCAACCTGCTTTCCGCCACTGGCCACGCCCCTTTCTCATTGGCCACGCCCCCTCCAATGTCCCGCTTTCTCGGGCCACACTTCCTGCTCGAGGCGTGCTGCCTTAACTCGCGTGGACCCCACCGCTTCTGTGGTCCCTCTCACTTCCCTGTGGGCTCGCTCCACCCTGAATCTGGGACCCCATTCCCGTTCCTTTTGCAGCCTTCTCCATGGCAACAAAGGGTGCTCCATTTACCCAGTGATGCGGACCTCAAATCTTAAATCCCCTTGATTCCTTTTTTTTTCTCCCTTCATACCTTTCAGCAATTCTACGATCGAATCTCCAAAATGCATACCCAATCGGACCACCACCTCTGCAATCTCTCACTTGGATCATGGCAACAGCCCCTTCCGAGTCTCCCCGCTTCCACCCTAACCCCGTACAATCCAGTCTCACGCACAGCCCGAGCTGAGACCCTGCAGTGGCCCCACCACACTTAGAGTCACCCCAGGCCTGCCTGCTTCTCCTCGCCTCCTGCTGCACGAGCGCTGCCCTGCCCTGCAGGCCACCGAGGGCTTTTGTCTGCCGTTTCCCCTGCCCAAAACCTCTCGCCCACAGATCTCTGCGTGGCTCGCTCCCTCCCTTCGGGTCTCTGCTCCACTGACTTACGGACTCGCCTGCTTACGGACTTGGCCACTGACATTTAATGAGCACTTACGGTTTGCCAGGACTCTACATGAATCAACTCAGTTAATCACAATCCGAATAGGTGGGGACGATGATTAGTCTCATTGCGCGGACAGGAAACTGAGGCACAGAGAGGTTAAGCAACCTGTCCACAGTCACACAGCCTGGAGGCCGTGAACTTGGATTTGGAAGTCAGCCTTCTCTACCAGGGCAGGGACCTTGTTTTGTTCACTGCTGTATCCCCAGCTCCTGGCCCACAGAAGATGCTCAAGAAATATGTGTTGAATGAATGAGAGCCTGAGCTTCTCCCCCTCCCTGCATCACTCTGCAATAGTCAGATTGGCTCTGGCGCGACTTTCTCAGCCCCTGTCCACCTCCAGCTCCGCCGACGGCCGCCACTGGGGTCTCTGACCACGCCCCATCCCTGCAGCCCCGCCTCCTCGGATGGCCCCACCTCCCTCGCCAGGCCCCGCCCCAGGCTCCCAATCCTTCGGCGGAAAGCACACGCACCTGGGCACGTTGATCTCCCGGTGCGCCCGCGGGGCCCGGGACGCCTTGCTGAAGGCCACTTTGGCGCCGACGCCCACGGCCAGGGCGAAGCTGATGACCCCGCACACGACGTAGGCTGTGCTGCCCCCGGGGCCCTCGCCCCCGCGGCCCCCGGCTCCCCCCGCCCGGCCCCCTTCCAGCCACCCGGCCTGGCCGGGGCCTGGTCCCCCGCCGGCACCCCCAGCCCCACCGGCGCCCCCGGCTAGCGGCGGCGGCGTGGTGGCCCAGCGCGGCGTGTCGTAGTTGGAGCAGGAGGCCTGCGCCAGGCGCATGTGGCGGTGCTCGCAGCAGAAGCGGTAGTGGCAGGTGCCGCAGCAGAAGCGGTAGGAGCCGGTGCTGCAGTTGAACGTGGCGTCGTACTGGCCCATGACATCGTAGTAGCCGTGGCAGAGCTCGGCGGGAGGGGGCGCCCGGGCCGCCGCGCCCGCCCCGCCCGCGGAGCCGGTCCTGGTGCCGTTGGCGCCCGGGCTCGCCGCGCCCCCGCCGCCAGTCAGCGCCCCGGTCAGGCGCCGCAGGTGCGCCAGCAGGGCGGGCAGCGGGCCCGGGGGCTCGGCGCTCGTGGCGTTGGATGGGCGCGCCCCGGCCTGGCCGGCGCTAGAGGCCAGGAGTACGAGGAGCAGGAGGGCCGGCATGGGGCGTGCAGGGGGTCGCACCGGGCCGCCAGGCTGCGGGGAAAACGAGAGCAGAGGTTGGAGCGCTGGGCGGGAGAGAGACGGTCAGACGGTGAGAAACGTGGAGATGGGTGGGCAGGAGGCTGGGAGGGCGGGCGGGGGGCGGCAGAGGGTGCGGAGCAACAGGCGCCGGGAGGCAGGAAGGGCGGAGGGAGCCGAGCTGCGTGGGCCCAAGTTGGCCGCCCCACGCGTGGTGGGCGGCGATGGGAGAGCAATGGAAACGCGCCAGGGCACGGCCGGGGGAGAGAAACGGGATCCGGGGAGAGATGAATGGGGAGAAGAGATTGGGAGGGTCGACAGACACCAGAGGGGTGTGCAGACAAGAGGACAGGAAGCGAGGCGAGGCTCGAGGTAAGGAGGAGAAACGGGGGCGAGCAGCGGAGAGGGCAGGGGAGGCAGCCGAGGGAGCGCGGGGAGGGGAGGGAGGGGAGGGGAGTGGGGGCCGGGGAGGGAAGGAAGGGAGACAGATGAGGGGTGGGTGGGAAAGGAGGAGTCGGGGAGCCGGGGAAGGAGGGAGAAAAGAAGGGGAAGAGGAGGAGGGGGAGGAGGGGGAGGGGGAGGGAGAGGGAGAGAGAAAAGTTGAGCATTTGAGTTTATAGACCAAGCAAGTAGGAAGAGGCAGTGCACGGTTTTTCAGCACTGACATCGGGGACTGATCCTGCTTTGTGGTGAGAGCCTGTCTCACTGGAGAATGTTTAGCAGCGCCCTCTCCATGCCAGGATTCCCCCCAGCTGTGACAATGTAAGATGCTTCCAGGCATTGCCAAATGTACCCCTGGTGGGAGGAAGCCGCAGCTGCCCCGGTGGAGAAACACTGACTTAGACCATATGGTCCTCAGTGCCCCCAAATGCCAATCTCTTTCCTTTATTTATGTCTGATAATCAAGGGATCTCTAGTCTCTCTGTGTCTCTCTCTCTTTCTCTCTCTCTCTCTCACACACACACACACACACACACCACTCTTACAGTGTTGGGTTTGAAGTGTCTCTGTCCACAGCTCAACCACAACCACAGCATGGTGGTTTATCTCCCTGCTGGACCTCCTGCCAGCTGCCTCACATTGACCAGCTCTTATCTAAGCGCCCCGTGCCCCAGTTCCCCGATCTGTAAATTGGTGATGAGGATGGTTATCTCTGAGTGGTCAGGAGGATGAACTGAGTGAAGACGTGGAAAGAGCTTAGAACAGTGCCTGGCGTATTGCAGGTGAAATATGAAAGCGTTTGCTGCTGCTGCTATTGCAGAGGGAAGATACAGGATGGGAAAGGGTCGTCCGGGTGCAGTGGTTCACACCTGTAAATCCCAGCACTTTGGGAGGCCAAGGTGGGCAGATTGCTCAAGCAAGAGATCAGCTTGGACAACACAGCAAAACCCTGTCATTACAAAAAATATATATATACAAAAATTAGCCAGGTGTGCTGCTGCACACCAATAGTCCCACATACTCAGGAGGCTGAGGTGGGAGGATCACTTGAGCCCCAGGGATCAAGACTACAGGGAGCTGCGATTGCACCACCGCACTCCAGCCGGGATGATAGAGTGAGATCTTGTCTCAAAAAAGAGAGAAAAGGTGATGGAGAAGTGAGGTGGGAGTGAGGGGCCAGGTGGGGCTGGTCTTCCAGCTGTTTCTATGGCAACAGTCCAGCCAAGTCCTAGACCACTCTCCTCCCCCCGTGGACCTGGAGGGATAATGAGGGTGGGGAAGATGCCTGGCCTCAGTTCCAGGAGGAGGAGAGATCTGAGCTCCACCTGCAGGTGGAACAACCTGGCCGTTTGGGGTGACTGCCCACGGAGTCTCACGTTTCCTCTCTGCAAGACCCTGATTTTTTTTTTTTTTTTTTTT